TTTTATGTTCGCTATTTTACCATTTAGATTGTTGATAATGTTATCATATACTTATAGAGCTTAATAAAAAAATGCGATTGAAGTTTATAAACCGAGCGATATTCCTCGGACAGTTAAGCCATCAAGTCCGTTATTTTCATAATCGACGTGTGTCGTTCAATATCTTTGAAATTATACCCCATGGCTATATAATAAGAAGTCAAACTTATAAGAAAACGTGTTCTTGTATATTAGGAGTACCCATACGCTAATTTTAGCTACAATCATTTGTTTTGGTTTGTTGATCAACGAACTGTGGACTTCAAATCCTAAAGACCGCCCGGCCGCTTAAGAGAGCAATAGTTCCTGTTTGCTTTGCATATGCGAATATAAACAGTATGGTATTAGGAAAATGTGTTTTCTTAAATGTATATGCTCTTATTTTGAGACAACTAAAAAATCACAACAATATTTTAAAGTAATAATAGTTACGATTTTTTTAAAAATTATTTAGTTAAATTATTACGATTAAGTGACGAACAAAAAAAAATCATCTTTCGCCTGTTTCTTCTGAATCTAAACATATGTCACCTCGCGTTAATGGTCGCTAGTAACTGCACGTGTGTCAAGGATCACAAACACTCTTGTGTTATGTTGTAAACAATTGTTTGTTCAAGCGACAAATACATCTGTATTCAATCAATTATCTGCGCTTTCCTCGCTTGAAAATCCATGTGAGATACGACTTTTGAGCAGTGAAAGCTCACCCGTAAAAAAAACAAAAGAACAGAAATCGCGTCGTAGAGATTTTACCTCGGAATTTGCAGTTACATACACATTAGATTTTTAGTGAATTCTTTGTAAGTATTCTCAAGTCCTTAGAACGCCGCGTCCAAGCCTGAATTCCCTCACTAGGCTGTCACGTGCGCCGTGACTCGCCGAAGCAGGACGCCCGGCACCCGCGTCTCTCCGCCAGGCCAGCGGAAGACCCCCTCGCCATCATTTCCGGTTTCCGCGCCGTCACCACTAACAATTGCGCTCGCGCGCCTCCGCGCCTGCAAGTCTCCCGGCGTTGGGGAGTGGTGGGAGGCGGTGGGGGAGCGCACGGAACTTAGACCGCTTAATCGCGCCTGTTCTGTGTTTGTACGTGTTGCGCTTCAGCTCGGGAAGCATCGCGTCGACTTCTGAGGACGCTCGGAATTAAACAGCGACGCCGCGCGACGCGCCCCGCACATGCCGTTTTCACAGGCCACGCCCGCCCCGCCCGAATGTGCGCTCCACGCGAGTGTTTTCTGGACAAAATACAAAGCTTTTGAAGAATTGGGAAACACCGAGTATTTAGTTGCAGTATATACATTTTAGCGGTAGAGGTACGTTTGGGAAGTGGGTCAAAAAATCACTCTCTGTAATTGGTATTTGTTAGTGTTGGCCGGATTAAAGGCATGTGTTTATGTCAATAGTTGAGAATGAAGGACTGAGACCCCCGATGACTCAATATGTGTTGAGAAAGCCTTTCAAATTGACCGTGTCAAATTGGGGATATCTTGCTACATTTAGTGTACTGTCTACTTTAACACGTACAACTTTTCAATCTCCACCGCTGTACACCCGTTGCCACAAGTGGATTCATAGTCTCCTTGCTTTTTTGCATCTTTGTCCACAAAAAAGTATACTCGTGACACTTCGCCTGAGCTTCACACAGAGCCAGGGCGGCGATTGGGCTGCGATGGGTGGTTCATCCGCGCGGTGGGCGTCCAGCCTTTCCTCCCCCGCCCATCTCCCGCAGGAAAACTCAATTTAATTTTTGATAATCGATTTTTACGTCATATCGCTATAAACGTATAAAATTGCAATATTGTTCAGCATATCTTGCATTATAATTTCTTCGCAAAAACGTTTTGAATCGACTCAATACCTTCGTTAATTTCTGGAATTTTGACTTTCTCTCATCACAAATTTCCGAGAGGTGTATTTTACACACACGGAATTTTTCGTGTGTGTTAACACCCACCACACAGACATTGTTCTTCCCGGGCCTGATGAGGCGCACCCCACGAGTCGGCCCGGCGTACGCCCCCCCACATCCCGTGCCCTCACCGTATAGTGCCTACGCATCCCTGTCCGTCGCTCCGCCCGCCCCCCCTCCCCAACCCCCCGCCACACCAGCAGCACATTTCTTCTACACAACATTTCGTCTGCTTGCTCCACTCCCTCGCAATCGCACATAGAAAAAGAGCAGAGAAAAGCGACGGCAGACAGAGGTAAAATGCGAAGATGGTTACACGAGCAGAGCAAACGGCCTCACACTTTTTAAAGCACTTATTATTCTGCAAATTGGAATACCGGCTGTCCCAGTTGCGACAATTGCAGGCAAAACCACATTGAAAAAACCACAAGTAGTTCAAAAACGCAATACCCACAGGACGCTCTCTATACACTCCGTATAGCTATGTTGCACCCGCCGATTTATCAATACCACTGCTGAATAGATCACATTGAAAAACATTTTACAAACAAGATTCTTGAAAAAAAAAAACAGATGAAACATTTGCGAAGATCGCAATGAAAATGAACATAAACCATTGATGTTTCTGCCACACAATGCAAGTCGCCAGTTGGCAAGTCATCTGACCCTCTGTTTTTCTCTATGTTGAAGATTGGCCCAAATGTCCTTAAGGGTAAGAAGGGGAGACCCCCCCTTGAAGTAGCGTGAACGTCCACTTGCACTTTTCGTGCGTTCCACAAAGCTGCCCAAAATAAACGCCTTATGTAAAATTGTGAACCAAATAATCTCTTGATCTTTTCTCGCAAAACTTACTTTCTATTATCATGTTAATTGTCGTTTCGTTATCAGTCGTCAGAAGAACTAGCAGTTCTGAGTTACTAGGGATTACTCTTCCCACGGTCTAAGCACGTTCTTCAGACTTATGTAACTGCAGCAAGTCAAACCTGCAGGATCCTGAGAACGATCGAAACAAAAAACATGATATATATATATAGTATATATATATATATTATATATAGTATATATATATATATATATATATATGCAACGCTCCGTGGTTCTCACCAACAAATAATTTGTACAAAATTTGAACATCTCAACAATGACAGAGACCATCTCGAGAGAAGCAAAAGAGCCATCAGAGAGGGACTTGGATGCCACCCCGAAATCAACACTCAGTGAAACATGTTGACAATAGTGAATAGGCTAAAGCGTGAACATATTCAAGGACTTACCCTTTAGATTCTCTTCATAGTAACTTCATTCATGTTTACCATTTACTATTGCTTCCAAGGTGAACAGATTGTAAATTAGCAGAATTGAAAAAAAAAAAAAAAAAAAAAAAAAAGCACGTTCTTCCCATACAATGCTGCGGGCAACCTCTTCCAAATATTCCGCGAAAGCAGCGCTTCAGGAGGCCTCGTTGATTTCTAAAGTCTTTGGATTGAGTAGGTAAGCGTGTGTTAGAGGACCGCCGCGCCGCTGCGCTGCTGTCCAGCTTTTTCTTATACCTTAATGAAAATCTAAAGACTCGCTCCAACATCTAATGAAAGACAAAGAAAAGCACTAGAGAGTGTCCAAATGTCAAAGTTCAACGTTATACAATATTAGCTGATGAAAATGAAGAATATGAAGTGGAAAGAAAAGCAAAAATTCATTCATTCAACAAATTATTCCGTTTAATGAAAACCTTCTTTAACAAACCATATGATCGAACGAAATATTCAGTATTAAGTTTAGAAATCGGGAGGAGTTGTGTATTTAAAACTAATAGCTATCAAAATGTTCTTCGAAAATAAAGTGTCATCTTCACTTTTACTGAAAGGATGAGGTAAGTGGTAGTCGGTTCGCAATTACGTAGCCTTTCTTCTGGTCTGTTCGTAGCATTTCGCCGCCCCCGCCGTGAAGTGGGGTTCTGCAGAGAGATTTCGCGACCATCCGGCCACAAACGAACCAAAGGACCGCAGCAGGTAAAACGCCGCCAACGGCGGCCCATATGGAATTGCCATCATTTAAAGCTGTGTTCTGCTACGGTGGGGTATGCCCTCCTGTATTTCGCGCTAGCGAAGTTCCGCTGTCGCATGCAGCAGCGCGCCAAACCTGTCGCACGTGGAAGTCTCCACTCAAAACCCAAGCATCTGCTACGAGCCCGCGCTGCTCGGACGCCCGCGCTGCGCTGGCGCGTGAAAAGGCAGCCCTTGCGCTGTGTTTTTGCTAGCGTGGCGTGCCAACGCCTCTGCCTACAGAGCCGCGCTTTCGGGAAGCGCTCAGCGGTGCGACGTGAGAAGGGTATGAAGCGGCTCAACTGTATCGACGTGAGAAAGGTCTATGAAGCCCGCAGCTGTGGCGACATGCTGAAGAGCGTGAAGGCCGCAGCGTGGCGAGCGTGAGAAGGGGCGTGAAAGCGCTCAACTGTGCGGACGTAGAAGGGTTATGAGCCCAACAGCTTGTAGCGACGTGTGAAAGCGGCTGAAGCGCGCCAGCGGTGGCGACGTGTGAAAGGTTGAAGCGCGCAACTGGGGCGCGTGGAGAAGGGGCCCTAAACTCCCGCAGCGTTCCGGCCGACCGTCAGCCTCAAAAGCTCACGCCCCCACGGCCTTTGGCCAATGCGCTCCACCCGTCCTCTGTTTCACCCCTCTACTCCGCCACGATCCATTCCAACCAAAGACGCCAACCCAGCCTCGATATTGTAGAGTTTCGCTCCTTAGATACAACACGAGTCTGTTCACAACTAACGGTTTCAGAAGAATTGTACGAAGGATCCAGTCGCTTCCTCATTTCGGAGGATTTGTAATCACATCGTGCCAAAT